TGTACATTGTCTAGCAGAGCGTGAGGCCGGATACCAGTCTACACTTCGGCAAAAACAATAAAGTGGCTTGCTGCCAGCTGCAGTAGACGATTTATAAACCGTGCACTCGTGTATGCTCGTGGTAGAATACGAATGATGCACGTGAACTCGGCCCACGCGCGATTTAAAGCGCGGGAAACAGCTGCACACAGCATCTATGAATTCATACGATGACACACTCTTATCTAAATAAAGTTTTTCATAACAATGGTCTGGGTATGGGCTAGTGAAAGTTAGGTCAGGGCTAGTGGTTTTCCTCAGTTACTAGCCCGATGGTCTAGTGAAATAAAAAGTTAATGTTGAACCCTGCTATGTCTGTTTTAAAAATTCGAAATGGAGTAATCGTATTATTATCATTTGTGCGCTGGCTTTTGTTAATGGGTGTCTTTTTACTAATATCATCACACAGTTAAGTCATGAAATCCCCCCCCCCCAGGAATTTGCTCAGCCTACGACCCTGTCAGAACTTCGCGTGCTGTTCTGAACCTCTGCGTTCACACGTCGTTCCTCTTCCAGTCGAAGGCAGGCACGACCGACCCGCTACACTTCAACGTGACCAACAAGGACGGGAAGGTGTGTCTCCTCATCGAGGGATCCGCGACCTTCGACGTCAAGTACACCCTCAAGGACAACTCGAACGGGACCGCCAGCTTCGGAATCCCCGCCGACGCAGTCGTTGTCGCGGGCAACTGCGCGGATGCCGCATCCAACATCTCCGTCAGTTTCTTCTCCGGTTACGCATTCAACCTCTCCTTCACCGTCGTCGAGGACAAGAGCCTCCTTAGCGCGGTCTCCCTCGATTACGTCTACGACACAGAGAGGTTCCCGAACGCGTCCGACGTGGGAGAGGCCGTCGTGGCGCAGGTCACGGGTCTCTCCCTCGCGTTGTCCTCGGCGACCGAGTCGTACCGCTGCCACGCGAGCGTGCCGGTTGCCCTGGGCGACCGCGTCAACGCGGTCGTCGCCGACGTGCGCCTGCAGGCGTTCAACGTCGTCAACGCGACGTACGGCGATGAGTCGGTGTGCACCGAGGACACGGTGACGACGGTGGCGCCGACGACGCCCGCGCCGCAGCCGGCGACCCCGCCCGTCAACAGCTTCGTCGTTGTCGACGACAACAACGTGACGTGCCTGCGCGTCGACGCCGGCATTCGATTCGAGATTCTGTACAAGGTAACGAGGGTTTGTGACGTGCCGGCGAGGCGCTAAATCAAACAAGACCCTTCGTTGTTGCGCATATGAATTTGTAAAATTCGCGAAGAGACGCGTGCATATTCAGTGGGGTCACAAAATTCGCATGAGACCCTGTTCACACACAGTTTGGCCGACGGCTTTCCCGGGCAGAATTACGAAATAGCTCGTTGATTTCATGGTTTTGTATCGCGTTTTTATCTGACCAATATTTTTTCAAAAAATAATTTGTCCCCCTGGTGTAATCGATTTATTTTTAATTATTGTATGAGCATTAGTTAGGCAAAACATAACGATTATTTAACGTTATAAAATCGCTGTAATAAATCGTTACATAAGTGATCATTTACGATTTCTGCGCTGCGTTGCGGCAGGTGAACGCGACGGCAACATGAGTGAATAATTCTATAAGCGATTATTTAACTACGTCTGCGTCACGGCAGGTTAACGCAGTAATAATCGTTACATAAGCGATTATTAACGACGTTTCTGGTTCATGTGACCTGCGGCGGCGTGGCGACGGTGATGGTAGACCAGGTTAACACAGTAATAATTGTTACATAAGCGATTACTTAACGACGTTTCTTGGCAGGTGAACGCGACGGTCATGCGACGGCAATGGTAGACATCCCGGCAACGCTAGCGACTACACGGGCGAGTGCGGCAACAACACGGACACCTCAGCGTCGCAATTCCTCGACGGCTGGAAGATGGAGCTACATTCAGTCAGAACACGAGCGCACGAAGAAAACAGCATGACGGCTGCTGCACTCACCTACGTCGTCACGGCAACGAGGTTCCCCGACGCCGACCCGTCCATCGTCGACAAGACCATTGTGAGTGTGCACGAACGCCCTCCACGCGTGGCAGATATATATATATATATTATATATATATATACGTTATATATACGTATATACATATAATACATAATATTTATATAATTATATAATATATATATATATATGTGTGTGTATAAATTAGGGTAATAGCATTCGATTTGTTGCCGAAATCTCCGCGTATTGAAAGTCTTTTGATAATTCTTTGTGCGCGCTTGATAACTCGGTCCCTTGCATTCCATGCTTTCTGTCTCTGGCTCGCTCTTTTTCTTTCTCTTTCTCTTGCTCTTTCTCTGTTTCTCTCATCTCTCTCTCTTCCCTCTTCTCTCTTCTTTTGCTCTCTCCTCCTCTCTCTCTCCCTCTCTCTCTCTCTCCCTCTCCTCTCTCCCTCTCCTCTCACCTCTCTCTCTCTCACTCCTCTCTCTCGTCTCTCTCGCAGAATGCCAGCAACGACCAACTCGAAGACTTCACCGTCACGCTCGGCAAGTCGTACCTCTGCAAGGCCGAGCAGAAGGTGAACCTGACCGGAGGAGTCTACGCTCACACCTACAGCCTGCAGTACCAGGCCTTCCGCACCGACAACACCTCCTCCTCGTTCTCCTCCGCCATCGACTGCGCCGCTGACCAGAAGACAAGTGACATCGTGCCGATCGCGGTCGGCGCCGCTCTCGCCGCCCTGGTGGTCATCGTGCTCGTCGCGTACCTGATTGGACGTAAGAGGAGCGCCCGGCAGGGGTACCAGACCGTGTAAGACGCCGCCGCGGAGGAGGTGGCGGAGGAGGGGAGAGGGTGGAGGGTGGGGAGGGAAGCGCTGTGCTGAGGAGGAAGTGGAAGGGGAGCGCGGCAGGAGGGAGAGAGCGCAGGAGGGGAGAGGAGCAGGGGAGGAATGGAGGCGGAAGGAGAGGGGTGGGTGGGCAGGAGGAGAGAGGAGTGGGGAGAGGAGGTGAGAGAAGAGGGTGGTGGGCAGGAGGAGAGAGGAGGGTGGGGGGGGGAGGGTGAGAGAGGAGTGGGGGGGAGGGTGAGAGGAAGAGGGGTGGGTGGGAAGGAGGAGAGAGGAGTGGGGGAGGGAGGGTGAGAGAAGAGGGTGGGTGGAAAGAGGAGAGAGGAGTGGGGAGGGAGGGTGAGAGAAGAGGGTGGGTGAGCAGGAGGAGAGAAGAGGGGTGGGCAGGAAAGAGAGAGGAGGAGGGGGAGGGAGGGGCAGAAGGAGAGGGGTGGGTTGATGTTTTTTCTGTGCAGCGCTTTCTCGTAGGTGAAGGTAGGCGCTCTGCATGTGTTAGGGTGCCTATCCCTACCACTCTGACCCTCAGGCGGGGAGGGGGCGGGGAAGGGGTAGCAGTGGGTGCATCCTAAGCAACATTCGTGGATCAAAATTGGCGTCAAACGGCACGCGGCGTGCTCGGGCGATGGCAGAAAACAAGTGAGCACACGCGGAGGCCTTCTGGCCATGTTTACTCTTCTTTCACGCTTCTAACGGTTCACCCCTCCCCTTCCTCCCTCTGTGTTTCCCCTTCCTCCCCCTTCCTCCCTCTGTGTTCCCCCTTCCTCCTTCTGTGTTCCCCCTTCTTCCCCCTTCCTCCCTCTGTGTTCCCCCTTCCTCCCTCTGTGTTCCCCCTTTCTCCCCCTTCCTCCCTCTGTGTTCCACCTTCCTCCCCCTTCCTCCCTCTTCCTCCCTCTGTGTTCCCCCTTCCTCCCCCTTCCTCCCCCTTCCTCCCTCTGTGTCCCCCCTTCCTCCCCCTTCCTCCTTAGTAACAATGGGAGAGCCCGCAGCGGCTTTGTCGTTTTGGATGGGATTTTGGGATAAGCGTACCTGTGCGATGGAGCCGGTATGTTGAGTGTGTTGTGCGGGTGAGTGGTTCCGTGTGTGATCAGTCGGTTCACCAGGTGAGAGTTCTCAGGTGTGTAACCGATCATCGTCACAGCTTTTGTGTTTGTAAATTTTCGAAAGAGCGCGAATTCGTACTAGCGCGCGTTTTGTTTGTGTGTGTCTGTACGTGTTTGTTCGTTTCAGCACCTGTCGTAATGTCAGTGGAGGAAGGTTTGGTAAGGTGACTCGCACCTGGCAGGTGAGAACAGGTGTGAGCGCGTGATGACATGGTTATTACGTAGCGTCGCGTGTTTTGTATACAATGTCGACGACGCTATCGATGCGCATTCAATTGAGCAGGAGAGGTGTCTGTATTCACCACCCCCTGCGTGTGATGTCTTAATTCGCTGTGCTGAATATATAGAGCAACTCGATACATACGTGATGATTCAATCGTAAACTGCATTGTATTAAGGGTCATGTTTGCATTGGTGAGGTGACGTGATGCACCCCTTCGCGTGGCTGTCGCTATGTGGTAACCCCGTGGTGTATACGTAATCGTTCATGATTAGCGTTGATGTTCTGTTTCGAGGTATTAATGGTTCGCCCGTCGTTTTGTATAGATATATATAATATGTGATCGTTGGTAAGTAACTCGCTAATCCCGCGTGGCGTGTAGAACGCACGCGAGCTTTTCTCCCGCTACGGACGTCGCCATGTGTGGTGTGCACGCGCGTCGAGCGACGGCCAAACCCACCGTGGTGACACCGCGATGTCACGCTGTCACCAACGCTCAGGAGGGGACACGGATGTCAGCGAGCGACGGACACCCACAGACGCTTGCACCGTTTCAATAATAAAATGATGGTGGGTGATGGTGGTGATCATTAATTGTATTTACTGTCAACGTCTTTTAATGTTTATTTGTTTTCTATCGCCGCGCATTTTCCACGTCGACGACGTTTCGTTGCTGAGGAGCGTTTGAAAGTCGTTGACGTGGAATTGTTGGGCGATACACAGTAGGTAAACATTAAGACTTTGGTAGTAAATACAGTTTGTGTTTATTTACCGTCATCTTATTAATAAAAGTGCCTGTGTTCCCACCGGTGCAGCGAAGGATCGGGAGGAGGGTTGGGACACTTCCATCAGTGCTTGTACTGTATCCCCTCCTCCTTTCTCTCCCTCCTCCTTCCTCTCCCTCCTCTCTCCTCCCTCTTCCCACTTCCTCCTTCTCCTTCCCTTCTCACATATCTACGCATTCACTGTCTCGTTCTCCGAGCACTCTGATTTAACTCAGCATTCAAGAAGAAGCATTTTCTCCCCCTCCGCTTCTTGCATCCGCCCCCACTACCCCTGCTATGTGGGGATGGGGAGGGGGGGGTACCATAGGTGAGACGTCTCGTGTATGTGTGTGTGTGAGTGGCATTCGTCCGATCCGTCGCGACATTTGCGGCGAGGGCAAAGCGTGCGCGCGCTCTCTCTCTCTCGCTATCATCGCTCTTATTTACCTATTCCCAGGTATTGCACGGATTACGTAGACTGGCACCCGCCCGCCGCCGGCGCGGTGAGCGCGTGCAGGTTGCAACGGAAACGGAGCCGCGCGGTGTCTGTCTACAGTAATCCGGGTATCTCCGAGCTGCGTTCGCTTGTTGCGGTTGTTCGGCGGAGAGATGCGTGTTCGGTGATCGTGATGTTTTTCAGGCATGGTTGATTGATAGCTGTACAACATCTCATCTGCGGTTGTATAGACATGCGGGGAGCGTAGTTAATGGAGCGGAATGCGAGAGATGCTCTTTTGTCGTGGAACCGCGGCCATGTTTTGGTGCTGCCCGGTGGTGACGCTGCGAAACGCATTGGTGACTGAATAAAGTTTGAATTAGTTTTTCGATTGGAACTGTACGAGAGTTTTTCGTTTGTTTGGCATTTGTGTTTAGTTGTCTGATTATCGGCTGCTCTTGGTCCACATGCTAGGTCCAACGACCACACTGTTACAGTAGAGGCATAGTGCCCCCGTACCAAGGTTCGGTACAGCTAATGTCAACATCACATCAACCGGCAGAACAATTCCAGTTATTGATTAAGTGTGACATTGATTTTGTGTATCTGCGAGAATTAAAGTCCGAAGTTAACAGCGGTGTCACGCACACACGCGCGCGCAGCAAGGCGAGCCCACACACAGGTCAGCGACCCACATGCAACACACACGCACGACACGCACACGCACACGCACACGACATTCACACCGTGCCTCCACACCACGACCCCCCCACCACACCTATATTATATATATATATATATATATATATATATAACTGCTGCACGCACGAGTTATTGTTTGCTCATTCATCGTCGTCGTTTATCTGGTAGGCACTGTTGAGATAGATAGGCTCGGTGGCCGGATGCACGTTGGGAGCTGCGCTGCTGTATCGCTTGCTACACCGGTTTTGATTCGACTCCTAGACCAACTGCTACTGTTTAACAGAAAGTTTGTTTAAACAGTATGGCACACAATTGACAGCCGCGTGGCAGGAGGCGTGGTTGGTTCAGGTTGTTTGAAAAGTAACATTTTTAACACATGTTCTCCCCAGGAGATGCAGTAATGTTATATATGCCGTGCATGTATGAATGGGGCCGAAGAAAGGTGTTATAACAGGGACACCGGGTGGAGATGAAACCGGGAAAACCTAACGGATGATGACGATAATCATGGATGATCGATGACGATGACGATGCATGATGATGGTGCCATGACGATGACGATGATTGATCGATGGTGATGCTGCTTTCATAAATTGGTATTTCAAAAATAAAACTAAGAGAACGTTGGCAGAGGAGAAGAGAATCTTGTGCACGTTGATAGAAAGATGGAAGGACAGGGGCGTGGGAAGGGTGCTTAGAATGTTGAGGGGCGAGAGGAGAGAACGGTAGAAGAAGATGGGCAAGCAGCAGAAAGCTTATACAGGGCGAAGGACGCCAGGTGAGAGGCATACGAAGACGCGAGGGAACAGCAGGTGAGAGATAGAAGAGAGAGGGACAGCAGGTGAGAGGCATAGAAGAGAGAGGGACAAGCAGGTGAGAGGCAATAGAAAGAGGAGAGGGAGCAGCAGGGTGAGAGGCATAGAAGAGAAGGTGACAGCAGGTGAGAGGCATGAGAAGAGAGAGGGAACAGCAGGTGGAGCGGCATAGAAGAGAGAGGGAGCACGCCGGTGAAGAGGCATAGAAGGAGAGGGACAGGGCAAGTGAGAGGCATATGAGAGAGAGGGACAGCAGGTGAGAGCAATAGAAGCAGAACGGGACGAGGTGAGAGGCATAGAAGAGAGCAGGGACAGCAGGCTGAGAGGCATAGAAGAGAGAGGGACAGCAGGTGGAAGGCCATAGAAGAAGAGGGACAGCAGGTGAGAGGCATAGAAGAAAGAGGGACAGCAGGTGGAGGCCATAGAAGAAGACGAGGGACAGCAGGTGGAGCCGCATAGAAGAGAGAGGGACAGCAGTGCGAGGCCATAGAAGAGAGAGGGACGCAGGTGAGAGGCATAGAAGAGAGAGGGACAAGCAGGTGAGAGGCATAGAAGAAGAGGGACAGGAAGGTGAGAAGGCATACGACAAGAGAGAGGGACAGCAGGTCAGAGGCATAAAGAGAGAGGAGCAGCCAGGTGAAAGGCATAGAAAGAGAGAGGACAGCAGTGAGGGCATAAGAAGAGAGAGGGCATGCAGGTGAGAGGCATAGAAGAGAGAGGGACAGCCAGGTGAGAGGCATAGGAAGAGAGAGGACAGCGCGAAATAGGTAA